AGAGAGAACGTTGAAAAGAATTTTTTCCACGAGGGGAGGATCAGCTGAAGTCATTTCATTTCATTTCATTCATGTATACTATACTCCTTTCAAACTAAAAAGTTATTTGTCTTTATAGAACAACTGGACGAGATCAGGAGAGTGAGTTTGTCCCGTTTGGTTTGTGACAACAGCGACACTGTAGAAACTATCCAGCTGAAGGCCATGGAGATCCCAGACTTTGACAGGTAAGCTACCCTTACTTGAAAATAGATGAAAATGCATAAATAAACATATATAAACACATACAATTTTGTAGTGTCTTTGTAAGCCAACTATTAACCTTACCCATTACAAAATCCTCAAAAACCCTGGCCTCAAGACATCTTTACAAAAAAATGTTATCTCAGAGTATCTTTTCAGAAATCCCAGAGTGCCATGCAACAGCAAAGCTTTACCTCGCATCAACTTGTGGCTGTGGAGGGATCCCCAACTTGAGGAAGACTTTGAGCCCTCAAACAACAAGGTATTGTTAAGTTCATTTTTAACTTGAATCATTGACTTTTATATACCGTACTGAAGTAGACATCTCATAATTACATTGACTAGCTTTAGCCAATTTTGTATTTAAAAATAACGTAGACCAACTTGTATGACTTCTCCATAACAAACAGTATGATATAGGAATAATGAATAAAGATGATTTGATTGAAGTAAACATTTGTCTTTGGGTAATTTACTTCCACCATAGACTAACCAACACAAGTAGACTTCTCATCGGATAAATTTTGAAGCTTGTTTTTTGTGTCTAGTTCATGTCCGGTGACTCAGGTTGCTATTGCTAGTGTCGATAACATTTTGTATCTATTATAGTGTTAATTTCATGATTTGTGCTTTACTGTTTGGTTATATAACTAGGGTATGAATTATCTATCTATATATTAATAGGCAAGCATGTTTCTTTAAAACCTTTTTTCTCAGCTCGTGTGCATCGTAGGTGAAATCTACGCATACCGTTAGAAAGCTATTTTCCTCTAGGTGTGCAGAATCCCTTTATAAATTTAAATAGGCTCAAAGATAAGCACGAAAAATGAGTTTAAAAATTTGAAAAAAATTAACATGGATCTTATGCGTTGCCATGGTGACGAAATAACAACGAAATATAAACAGAAAATCAAAACAAATGGAGGAAACTCCAATCACATGTTTTATTTACAGTGTGGGGTGAAAATAGTTAAGTGAGTACATTACATATTTTTGGTCGAGTTTCGACCACTGGACGACCTCTCGTTGTTTATGATTAGATAGTTTTATTTTGTTTTATAGGAGGTTTTAAATGGCTGAAATAACAAGAAACAAATTGTAAACAAAACACGACCTCTATAGTGCACCAGACAGAACCAACAATAAGATTGGCATAAGTCGTTCCACAGGGATGAGAAATCTACAAAGGGAGTATATGTTTTATATATGCTTCCACTTAGTCCATTAACTTTGTTCTATTATTCTAGGAGACTGTTATAATAGAAGAGACCCACAATTTAGAATCTCCTGAAGACAATGAAGAAGAGTCAAATAGATTAACAACAACGACAGAGAAACTTCCAGAAGAAGAGGAGGAAATTAAAGTAGACTATCACGTAATAAAAGTTGACAACAAACCTGTCCTGCTAGAAAGTATTGATAAACTTATCCACAATCTTAAAAATACTAATAAATCCAGTCAGCTAACTCCCCCACTACAAGAGGAAGAAACAATATTGAACATAAGCTAGTTTCTCGAATTTCTTTGTTTAGGAGACAAATTTTGTGATTATTAATGTACCAAAAATGTTAAATTTACAGGATATATTTATTTATTTTAGCTGTATATATTGTTGAATATCTTAAGATCTTGTTTAGGATTAAATAATGCAACAACGATGGAAGTATTATTTATATTACCTTTGACTCTTCAAAACTTTTAGTAAACTACTTGATAGTGAACTGTCAATAATATTACAATCCTAATAGATCAAACTAATATGTAGTATGGATGTTATTTTAAATCACTAGAGTGTTTTACTTCTCCCTAACAAATCTTTTTGATTACAGAATCGGATTCTACGTTGAAAAATACATAACTTTTACCAGTTACCTAACAATGTACATGTTCTCTCACTGATTTGAGAAAGCAAAGTGGCCAATTCGCTCATCAGTGAGACAATGTTAACATTGTCTCACTCTAATTACTTTGTCTCACTCCAGATTTGCAACGTGAAGGCACGAAATAGTGAGCATGCACGCGAAATACGTTGGCAGCACTGGCTGTAAATCAGCTGGTCAGCTGTTGTACTGTTGTATTTGTCACTTCACATTAAATGTTATATTAAAAGTTCACTTCTGTGTAAAAATAGGTTATGTTTCTTCACCAATTTATTTGTTTTATGGTAACTGTAGGAAAAGTATAATGTGCAACTCGAGTTCAAAGTACAATTGCCTCACTCGAGAAACCATTCCTCACTCGCCTACGGCTCGTGAGTAAGGATTTCTCTCGAGTGAGTCAATTGCTCACTTTTCTCACTAGTTGCACAAATAACTATTGTCTAAAACATTTTTTGAAAAACTTGTTTTCTACCTCTAATCTCCCATTAAAGTCAATAACTTTTGGTCATTGTGTCAAAGTTACTTGAAACAATAATAGAGAAAAACAAATAACAAAGATTACATAAAGACATATGATGAATAGAATCAGCTGTTTATTTTAAACACCTTAGCAATTGAGTAACAGCTGGGGCCCATTTCATAATAAAGTACAAACTAATATTACTAGTAAATCAGCTGATCGCACAATGCAAATCTTATGGAAATTACAAGTTACAAGTTGTAACTTGTAACTTGTAGTTTATTATGAAATGGGCCCCTGGTCTACACATTGCTAAGTTTAATTTTTTTTTATAATTTATTTTTACATTTGACCCCTTAATGTAAAAACAAATGATTTATTTTTAAAATAAAATGAAATTAAGCAATGTGTAGACCAGATTACTTTGCTATGGTGTTCACAATGAACAGCTGATTCTATTTATCACATGTCTTTATGTAATCTTTGTTATTTGTTTTTCTCTATTATTGTTTCGAGTAACTTTGACAGATGAATGACCAAAAATTATTGACTTTAATGGGGCATTAGAGGTAGAAAACAAGTTTTTTCAAAAAATGTTTTAGACAAAAGTTATGTATTTTTCAACGTAGAATCCGATTCTGTAATCAAAGTTGGTAGCTTACATTTAAAAAAGTCAACTTCCGGTCTGAAAAAGCCACTTCCGGTGTGATTTTGGATTTGAAATTATCACCATTTGGTAGACCGTGCCCAATTTAGCTAGTTCTGTATTATTTTTTATTTGTAAGAAATGGTTTCCATCGTTTTGAAAGGGGTGTACGGGTGGTTTAGGACACCCGGTATAAATTGGTCTATTTATCAGTATAGTACTGCGGATAGTTAAAGTACTCACTCCTGCAGACGTTAATCCACACCAGGGAGCATCGCATCCACAGTGCATGCCTATAAATATCCACAATTCGTGACCTCCTAGTAGCTGGATTACAGGACGACACCACCCGTCCCAGTCATTGATTCAATCATACATTCAAATTACGTGATTGATCCGTCTCCTTGTAGTCCTGAGGATGGTTCATGAACTGAAACTAGTTGCCACTACACCAACCAAGGATTACTGTATGCAGGTATCTAAATCAAGCACCAAAGAGCCTGAAAAACAAATATGACCTTTTCCAAGGACAATTTCAATATTTTAATGTCATTTTACTCAACTTAAATTTTGATAATAAAATTGGTACCTGAATTAAGGTTATGTTGCTTGACTGTATAAATTTCTTTCTACTTCCCTTTCATCAATTATTTTTAAATAAATATTGATATGTAGAATGTAGGCGGCAGTTCTTTTTTAATAAAAGGTGGATTTTGGATGGTTTGTATATAAGGCTAATCAATTTTTTATTAACTAGGAAATACTTTCCTTTTTTTACTTAAAATTTTAAAATGGCGACCATACAAAGGTAGGTATTTTAAGCCAAGTATGAATGGAAATCAGTGTAGGATGTGTGGCGCGATCTTGTAGTCTTGTTAGTGAATAAGGCAGACTTGTTCCTCAGACAAGACTGTTAATTAATAGCCCATACAGCCAATGGCAACTAAGGGACCTACAGTTTATAGTGGAATCTGAACCACTTTAGCCTTTTAATTTACAAATTGATCTAGTTGTCAGGATACTGCAGATTTTTGTAGTGCTGACTAGTTTGGACATTAATCCACACCAGGGAGTATCGCATCCACAGATCAATACAACGATCCAATAAGATAACAGTAAGAATCCAAATCTGTTAGTACGTTTGATTCTTAGTTTATGTAAAAGCTCGAGAAATATCCAAATGTCCTTTAGGAGCCTGATGAATTATAAAAATGCTCTTTGTGGTTTTTTTGTTGTTTTGTATCAAGCTGTAGTTTAAGTTAATTGGCCTTTAAAGTTAGTCACGAATACTAGAAAAGACCCGGTATGGATCATTAACATAAACAAATGACGTTTTTGGCCTGAAAGTAAACAAAGCCCCTATATACTAATAGCATTAATTAACATGGTTTTGTTTACTTTCCGGCCAAAAACGTCATTTGTTTATGTGTATGATCCATACCGGGTTTTTTCTACTATTCTTGGTTAAAGTTGATTGTAACGCAAAATGCAAATTTTATTTTTGTACAAATTAAATATTAATAAAAAAAAGTTATTGACTAAACAGTATATACAACTATAATTGCTCTACAAAAGCTTATTTCTGCTTATATACTTGTGGAAGCTTACTTTTGTGTTATTTTTTTGTTATAAATAACTAGGAGTGAGCAATAATAAATCAAAACAATCCTCTATTAATTCAATTGAAAGGAGTTCCTAAAAAAATCTTTCATAAAGAAACACAATTGGAGTACCGGTACACAAATAATTTATTTTATAACAAATACAAATTCATTGGCTACCCTTTTCTTTGACTGCATATTTTTCCTTGGTCCCTGTAACAATTCACATTTGAACTAATAATATTTAAAAAAAAAAAAAAACATTAAATTATTTTTTAATTATATTTCTAAAACTTAGGCCTAGTTAGTTGTGCTAAGTTGCAATTTTATAGAATAACTCACTTAAAACAGTGTGTAAGTTTTTAATATGAACTCTTATTAGTTAAATTTGTATGAATGTAAATGTTTATATACATATTATTCAAATTTGAACTTATTTAACCAACACATTGTTTAGTGCTGGTAAGAAACAAATTAAAAAAGAAACAAATCAGGCACTGGGAAAAGCCAAAACAAAGTTCAATAATGTTAGATAAAACAATTGTTACCTATTGACATTCAAATCTCATAAATATATGTTTAAAAATCAAATATTATAGTCCTGTATTCAAGGGAACTTATCCCTTTCTTACCTACCATGTTTTGGCAATCACTAAATTGATACTTAAGTAAAATTTGTTTAATCACTAACAAAATTGATAATTTATTATTTACCCCCCCCCTCCCCTCCCAAAATGTAAATTTTAGACCCTGATAAACATATCATGTTCTTCAGAAAAAATTTAATTAATTATACAAAATAGTAGTGACTAGGGCTAGAGTTATGTGATTTGACAGATTATACACGAGTCCAGTGGGGGTTTCAAGTGGGGGGGGGGGTTTCAAGTGGGGGGGGGGGTTTCAAGCCTTCCCCCTATTGAACCCTGGAAATTGAATACTAAACTAAATTTTAAAATTAAAAATTTTTGGATACAGTTCTAGATGTTGAAAATGGCTTTTTAGAGTCAAGAAACAGGTTTGAAATGCCAAATCTTTCGGGAAGAACCCCAGACCCCTTTCCTTTCTTTCAAATGCCCGGTAGCCCCCCCCCCCACCCTAACAAGGTCCTAGAACCACCACTGCATTAGTCTAAAAGAGTTGACATCTATCTACACACATTTGACTTATGGATATTAAAACAGAAACAGCATGGATCATAAACATAAACAAATAACCTAACTTACCCGAATCCTTTACAAATAAATAAGGTTTGGAATTTGTTTCACTGTTCCTGTTAAGAAAGAATACAAACATGTTATTAAAATCATTGTGTCAGTTCTGAAATGTTAATATTATTATTTGTTTGGACTTTTACAACAATCTTAACATATTCTTGGAAAAGTCCAGACAAATAATAATAGTAACACAAACATGTTTACGTTTGGGCCAGTGATAGCATTTATTTCTTACTCCAGTGGCATTTTAAATTTAAGTCGAAGTTAGTTCTTAAACGCTGTCAAGGGAAAGTGGTCCAAACCCGTTTGTATATGTTTACGGTCCATACCGTTTCTGTTTCTAATATTTATTTGTGATTTGACCAATATCTTACACCAGATTGAAGCCGGTTACTTACGTTTAACAAAGCTGTTAAGTCCTCGGCTGATTGTGAGAAAGACAATAGTCAAGGGGTAGCTGATAGTGAGTAGGAACATTCTTTGTGAGGGGTTGAGATTGTTGAACAGAAGATAAACCCAGTTACCCTTCAGAACCGATGCACCAAAACTTCCAACAGAACATATTAATCTTCAATATCTAAATATGGAGTATTTAGTAAAATATGATGACAGACTGTCTAAGTGGTATTCCCAGGGAGGGGATGGGAAGGATATATCCCCACAAAATATATTTTTTTATCTAACTAACGTATACTATTAGCTTGAGCATATTTTAGAGCTCAAATAAGTATGAAAATATGTTTTTAGGCTTTAAATTCCACATTTTTCCAGGGGGGACCCCTAAATTTCCTTTTTTCACAACCCCCCGTTGGTCATCCCCCCTGAAATGAAATCCTGGGACCGCCACTTTACTGTCAGGAAATACTGATAATATTAATGTAATTTTGTAATCTTTACTTTTACAGAACCATAGGCTATGTGTGTTACTTCAGATTATGCAAAATGATTCCCTCTTTGATATTTGTCATATAAAAGGTTCCCATAACACCACTGGCATGACCCAAAAAATAGAAAATAAATCTTTGGTAGATTTGTCATCCTTATGGATAAGATGAAGATAATTTTAATATTAGTTCAGTCTGTCTCTAGGGACTTTTATACAATTTGTTTCTTGTTATTTTATTAGGCCTACTATTTAGTTTTAATCAAATAGAATAATCTAATTATAAACAATAGTCCGTCCTCTGATTTTATAACCAAAAAGTAAAGTACAAGTCATGAAATCAACTCTAAAATAGATAAACATTTCTAACGCTCAGTGTTACAAACATCAAACATGCTTCAGATTTTACAACGATAAGAAGTCTACACTTCTGTTATACTTTGTTCACAAAATTTAGGCAGTTTGAGGGAAAACTATTCAATCCCATCCACCTCTCCATAACTTTGAAACAACAGCCAACAGCTGATATATACATTAAGGTAGAAAAAGTGGTGCTGGGACCCAGGAAACCTTCCACTTAAACCACCTTTATCTTTGTGACAGGACTATAGTTGGTCCATGCCCGAACTCAAGACTCAAAACTGTTTCCACAGATATCAAATAACATCAAAGCACTCTAATCCAATACACATTTAAAATTATGGCGATTCACTATTCAGTTAGTTAACCATTTATGGGCCTACTCATAATCACAATAAGGAAATAGATACGGTATTAGAGAAATCATCAGTTCTGATGTAGTTTTGATATCAGGGAATAAATCTTGAAGAAAAAAATATATAATGTTGAGATAAATTTCAAAGATGATTGAAATAGTTATTTGTGTAACTAGTGGGCAAAGTGGCACTTTGGCGGCTCGTGCGGAATGATCTCGAGTGCAGCAAAGGCACTCGTGTTACACATTATATTTTTCCTAGAGACACTATAAAGCATACAAATAATTAGTCTTTCAAACACTATACAACACGTTTTTAGGTTCAGCTGGCAACACAAATGGTGCCCTAGAGAAAGTAGTACCCGGTCCGTATCACTCCGCTATTTTTCCTCGGCAAGAAATGTGCTCCGCGACTTGAGAATATAGTTCCGTTTATGTTTTTGTAATTTGAAGTGGTTTCCGCGCCTAAAAAAAAGCTTTAAAGGTATTTTCTTGTTTATTAAGATCGTAGGAATGTTTTAAAAACGTTTAAAAGAAAAGTCCAGAAAGTTCAGAAATATCGAAATTATAAACACGAAATGACAGGTTAAATCGTAGTTATAATAGTCGATCAGCTGCTCATAGTATTATTATCTTTAAGTGTTGCCAACCTATTTCCAAGCGTACACGGATTACGTGCATAATAGAACCACGCTGTTTTGTTTTGTTTCGTTGGAATCCTAATGTGCGCCAAAGTATAAACCGTACGACAAAGTATAAACCGTACGACAAAGTATAAACTGTACGACAAAGTATAAACCGTTCGACAAAGTATAAATATGCAGCAATTAGCTGCTTTCTGTACTATAAACCGTACAAGGAAGCCAACTTTGTCGGGTGACTGTAGGAAAACTAATTTTTACTTACACAACTCCATAAACCACAAACAGCAGCGACAGTCCCACGAGGGCGGATGTCCTAGAAGGGTTGTGATTGGGTCCGAGGATCAGATGAACCAACAGAATGGGGACGGGAAGAGAATGCATCGCATGATTCAACCAAGGAGGAATAAACCGATCAAATAGCTCTGGGTAGATCACCTCCCGATCGTACAAGTAGAACGTCCAGAACACAGTGAATATGTACTGGAACATGAAAACATTTGTTCATAAGACAGCAGGGTTTAAGGTTTTTCAACGTAACAAGAAACATTCCAGTTAAACGTTTTACGTCAATTTACTAATTCAAAGGTTGTAACTGGTTTGATGCAATTTCTTCCAATTATCAATTACTTTTAGGTATTATACTGCACCATGATGGTTTGAATAGTCATAATCTGTACATCTACCTATTTGGAAAACAAATACCCCCGCCGCAGCAAACCTGCTGTCTTAGCGAATTTCCATTTGGCTGAATTGATTTTCAATTGATCTATTTAAATAACATTAGGTTTAACGAGTACCTAGGTTTGCTGCTACAAGGAAACTAATAAAGTGTGTGTTTTAAGTAAAATAATTATTGCTTAGTATAAAATTAATATATTTGCCAAGTTTGATCAAAAGATATCCATAAACAAGCAAACTACAACATTTTACAATATTCTCCATAAGAATAACATGGACATTTTAAATTGACCATTTTTTTAGTTTTCTCCGTAACCAATAACCGAACAAAAACACTTTGATATACTGAATTGTTTGTTTTTTAAGCTCTATAAGAAGGTTTAGAGGAAAATTGGGAAATTTTGTGTTTTGAGGGTCAAAAGTGAGAAAAACCAATTTGTACCCCATAAAACCCTGTTCCCATGGTCCGATCATGCTGGATCACGAACTCATTCAAGTTTATCCCGCCTTACACCTTTAAACCAAATTTCATCAAAATCGGATAAAAATTACTCAAGTTATCGTGTTCACGGACACATATATATTTAAAGGGTACTTAGTTTTAATAATGCATTTACATATATATATATATAAGTTATATATATATATATATATATATATACATATATAAAAATTTGAACGAATGGTGTTTTTGGCCTCTGGGGACATCAAAATGAAAAAGTAAATCGGTCCCGGGCCTAAGTGTTACCATGAGACCTACGGTAATAGCTACTTCCCTATAGGGAAATTCGCTAAAAAGGATTAGTTCCACTGGCGAGGAAATATTTTTGGTATTCCCCACCAATCTCTCTCCACCCACGGATAATTAACATACTAAGGAAATGTTGAACAGTAAACTTAAGTGGTGTCTAGCACTAGTCGCTGGTGTCTAGCGCAAAATCCAACACCGCCCCCTCACCTTCATGTTCTACAGTGAAGGAAGGCCCTGTGCCCTGTGCAATAGGAATTATGGCACAGTACACTCTGCAAGGGCTTTCCTTGCTTGTCACAAGTATGTTTCCTGCACATCATACTAGAGCTTAAAGTGCATTGATGTCCTATAAGCAAGTTTCCTCTGAGCTTTACTTTTCTGTGCTCCACCAACAACCATACAGTTTTAAATGTACTAGTCTTGGTGCAGGTACCAAGTTGACATACCGTGGTATGAAGCTCAACATAAGAAGTTGCAGTTGGCTAAGCCCTGACATATGTATCTTTTGTGCTCAAACCAGAGCTGTCTAAAAAGGTACCCGCTGCAGTTAAATCAAGCCACACAGCAAAAACACATAACTTATTGGTATTCTATTGCAAACAGGGAGAGTTGAATAACACAGAAGTATGGTAGTACATCTCTGTTTACTAAAATGTAAAACTAGAAATAGTCTACATGCACAGTTCAAGTAGGGCGACTTACCAGCGTTAGAGGCAGAACAAGGGAAGTGAGCAGATAATGTCTTGCATTGGTAGAGTACTGGGACCATCGAGGACAGACAAACACGGAGGGCAAGCAGTTGACAATGTCGGAAAACGAAACAATAACAAAGTATAGTGTTTGTAGAAACTGAAACAATTATAAATTACTGAAGAACTCTGCTTGTCTGAGTTCCCATCATCCACATCCCCAATTATCCAGATCACCCCAAGAAGAAATAAGGAGTAAAAGGCTGTAATTATTTTTTTACCACACTCCGAGAGTAAGCAGAGGTGTTCAGGTTTTCTTGTCCTTGAAGACAGTGATGTAGGCCTAGTTTTAAAATATCCAGTATGGGAACACTTACTATTGTTGTATTAATAGTCAAAGCTATTGTCTAAGAACTGACTAACATTTAGGATTAATATACTATGTACTATGTAGGACTATTGGAATAAACACTGTGGGAACACCGTTCCCGCTCCACTACACTACTGTTTGTAGACTAGAAAGTTGTTTACAGTAAGAGCTCGTTAAAATCAGCTGAATGAGGTAAGTCAGCTGGAGCGTGGTAAATAGTTTACTGCATTCGTTCAAAACTGTGTATGAGTTTCCTCAGTAAGCTCTACACCTAAACAAAGCCGTGAAGCAAATATTAGGCTTAGACATGTTTGGACCGTAAATTTACACTTTTATAATAAACTAGCTGTGTACCCGTTCTACGCACGGGGATCTTATAATATTCAGTTGAAACCTTCTTATATAAAGAACAGCAGTTGGTTTGCATATTTTAAGATATGCTGGCCAAACTATTATACATAGCTTCATTTTATGTTGTTTTTTGTTGTTCCGGATCGGTATGACAATCAATAAAAGGTTAAATTACCTCTGTGTCTGCCGGTCGATCCTATAACGGTAGGCTTACTTTTATTTTTACTATCTGATCTCGTTTGCATGGCTCAATCACGTCCTGGTTGAAGTTCGTTCGCTACGCTCACTCACCTGTATGTTGGAGCTCGTTCGCTGCGCTCACTTTCCTTCAGGTTAGCTCGTTCGCTACGCTCACTTGCCTTCAGGTTAGCTCGTTCGCTACGCTCACTCGCCTCCAGGTTGCAAATTAGCTGTTGTCATAAATGTAAAAGAAATAATAGTGCTAGTGCTGCACCCTGTTGGTAATCCTTGTAACTTTAATGCTATTGAACATCACAGAACAGAACCAACTTGTTTAATTGAAACAGCTGTTAAGATTCAATAATTTCATTTCTCATAAGGTTAACATGGGCTTCCAGAAATTCCACGTCAAAAATCGACAAAAACTTGATTTTCAAGGGTTTACTGTTAAATATCTAACTGTCTCATATTCGATGAAATACGTCTAAAACCATCTCATATATGTATAGTATTTGGAAAATAAGTTTCAGGCGGGACAGTGCTATAGTTATTGAGGAGTAGTTGTAATAAAGTGCGTATTTTAGCGTTACCAAGAGAATGACAGATAGACAGACAGACAGACAGACAGACAGACAGACAGAAATTGAGATAAGGTTTGATTCGGTTTCTCTGACCTATGAAATGTAAAAATAACCAAAAAGTTCATTATTCTAAGCAATGTACAGACAAAACTCTAATTTTATTTATATAGATATTAATTTTGCCAAAAGGCTTGAAAACTTAACTTACCTTTTAACTTTTAAAATATCACACTAGGGTGGCTATTGCCATGATAATAACAAGAATAACAAACTTGTAAATATAAACATTGCACACATGCTTATAAACTAGCATGTTCCATTATCGTGCAACAGCTGTTTATGTTTGCGGAACTGCGGTGTTGTCCTTTTCATCTCACTGTATCGCCTTGTATTAGAGGAGGCTATGTCAATACTATAATTCATTTAATAATTTTCACAACTGAAATGGTGAAACAATATTTTTAATGAATAGTCATCTCAAACATTTATCGTCTTAAATATCTAAAAATAGCTTATTTCCTATATAGAAAAATGCTAAAACTTAATATAATAATCTTCTGTTCTTATAAACATAGGTATTCCACGCAAAGTTCCTCTACAACTTTATATACTGCATACATAATTGTTAAAAGTAAACAAACACTTATAAATACTTACTGATACCCAAATGCTCAAATATTTGTGCTTATTCTCTAACCCATACTGATAAATTATACTTTTGTACTTGTGTTCATCACATTCTAAAAATATCAGACTGATTCCTCGGTAAGTTAGGTAGAAATAGAATATTGTAGTGAGCCAGTTGAAAACCTTAGAAACCATCTTGACAACTGAATGTCTCAAGATGAGTAGGGCTTCATGTAATCCTTTTTGACACTCAAGACAGCAAGGTTTCATTACTTCGCTTAATTGCTTAGCATTACTTCTAAAATTTATTTATGCATGTGTAAATTTGCTATTTAACATCAATTTTTTGTTAGATATGATCAATAGTGATAGCCCAATGACAATAATTTGTACCTCGGTCCAGAATCGAATTTTGTTTCAATCAAACAAGTTACTTTCAGATTTAAAGGCGAGACTCAGCTACAGTTTTCATATGTAGCTATACTGGTTAGTTGGTATGGAATATAAGTGATATTTTATTTAAGGGAATCATATACAATACAGCCGGTATAGTTGTGAAGAAAGTTTATGCAGAGTATAAAAATATATGCACATATAACAATTACCATAACAATACAATCAATACAATAAAATATGGTACATTAATGATTTAACAAAAACTGTAACAATTCTTTAAATTAATGAGGTAAAAATAATAACGGGGTTACATGTGAGCAAGTGTTCATCACATATTTAAAATCACAGATATGATTATGGTTTAGTAACAAAAACTATGCACTTATTAATTCTTGTCTCCCTGACATATAAATACTGGTGTTGGAAATATATAATTTTTGTTCTAACTTTATTAATACATATTCATAAACAAATGAGCTAATAACCTGTAGGCCTAATGTATTTAGTCAGGTCATTAAATGCCTTAAAAAATTAAAAAAAAATCTTTTAGTCCCAGAAATTGCTTTAAAATGTCCTCCTAGGTGTCTATCTTAACACACCAAAAAGCCTGGAGGGTGGGGGGTCAGGAAATGGCCACCATCTTGGATTTAAGGTGTCATTTTTATGGGTTGTGTATACTATATTGAATTAGGAAATTAATAAAGAAGATTAAATTTCCTAGAAGAAAAGTATGTAACTATTTCGGTTCAACCATTTACAAGATATAATAAATTAGTAGGATATCTTATCAATTAACTCCCTCAATTAGGAATATATGTAAATTATTTTGTATGTAAAATAAATGCTAAACAAAGCAAAGCGTATTCACATAAGGTCAATATAACGGATATTCATAAAATCTTGACCAAATTTCCAGCAATTTGATTTGACACTTCGATCATCAAAATTCGGCCAAAATTAAGGCGTTGCCGAGCTCACAATAACCGCATTATTTGTAAATAGTTTCTTAAGGGCGCGCTTTACCCCTGACGTGCAACCGAATGCAAGGGTTTGCAAGATTTCTGCTTCACCTGCTACATTGAAGGTAGAATCAAAGTTAAGGTCTCATATTAAAGAGGATGAAATTTTCTATAGTTCTTTGTTTCTATATTTCAATTATTTTAAATACACACCTTATAAACTTGAGTTGTAGTACAAGAAAAAAGGGTCTTTTCGACTAGCCTTAACTTAAAACAGAAAAACGTTTTTTTAACATTTGAAAAACGCAGAACTATGGATTGGTCTTTGTACTACTATAAGCTGTTTAGAGTGCGTAGCTATCATTATTAGTTAATTCTAAAACAGTAATCTTGGAAACGTCTGCAAGTGCTTCTCGCAGCGCTGTCCAATGGTGAAACATAGCTACTGAAGCCCGAGCTCAGATTTCCGAGCTGAGGTAAAGCGCACCCTTAAATTACAACTTTTTTGTGTGTTCACCCTTGCCTTAATCTTGGAAAAAATTTTATGATTATTAAATTAAATTATTGATTATTAAATTTTATGTCAAATTACTGGAAATGTTTTCAAAATTTCATGAATATTGGTTATTTGACCTTAGGCTCTTATTAGACGAGGCAGCCAAGTTGCGCAACCAGCCGGGCAGCCAGTCGCCTGTCTGGCTGCCTAGCGTAGCAACCAGTAGAGCAGCCAGTAGAGCAGCCACAGGGCAGCCACAAAATTACCAACTAGGCCAGTCTCTTGTTGACACTGGAACAGTGTTGGTGGAACAGTTTTGTTGGGGAGAGACGCTGTCAGAATGCGAGATGAATATTTGCTTCTTCTGCTACTCATGAAAAAGAGAAGACGAAGGAAGAGAAGAATGCATATACATCATATTCTTTCATCAAGAACAGAAAAAGGATTATATTACACCAATTACACAATTATATTACAAGAATACTGAGGAAAACAACACATAATGATGTGACCGGCAGATATAAACGCACTTCCACGAGTGATTATCTACTACTGATGTGTGTGGCAGAGGGCGACTGGCTGCCCAGTGTAATAAGATCCGTAAGCCACACAGGAGCGCGACCAGACCGAGCAGCCAGTGGTTGCCTGTGCGGTCGCCGGGCTCGGCAACCAGCCGGCAGCCAAACAGTGGCTGCGCAACTGGCTGCCCTCGTGTAATAAGCTCCATAAGAACCAATGCCCAGTGACTAGCTGGCCGACTGGCTGCCCGGCTGGCTGCGCAACTTGGCTGCCTCGTCTAATAAGGGCCTTAGGTGGATAGGCTTTGCCACGTTTAGCATTTATTTTACATACAAATTTACATGTATTCCTAATTGAAGGAGTAAATGAATAAGATATCCTACAAATTTATTATATCTTGTAAATGAATGAAACAAAATAGTTACATCATAAACTTTTCTTGTAGGGAATTTAATCTTCTTTAATTCCCTAATTTTAAATGGCATAAAAAAGTTGATAGTTTTCGAGATATTTAGGAAAACCCTAAAAATGACACCTAAATCTAAAATCCAAGATGGCGGTCACTTCCCAACCCCCCACCTTCGGGGCTTTTTGGTGTGTTAATAGATACCTAGGAGGACATATTAAAGAAATTTCTGGAACTATAATATTTTTTTCATTTTTCAAGCATATTTTAAATATAAAATGACTGGGCTAATTGCCCTTAAGACTCAAAGTAACTTTTAAATTGTGTTTAATGTACCGGTAGTACATTTGTTTTATATATTGTATATTTTCATTAGAAAACATAGGTATTACAATATACAAGAATTGTCAGTATTTTTCTGAAACAAATTATTTTATCTAAATGTATTTTATTTATTTAAATTTATCTAAATATATACATTTTACTATCTAAATTTATCTATTTGATTTAAATATTTGTAATCTCAACAAAATAAATGTATTAAATTTTGTATTTATTAAAAAAATTATGTGAGTAGGCTATAAACTATAAAGTTATAATACTGAACATAATTGAAATTCAAATTTTTTTTACCAGTATACTGGTATAACAAAAGTTAGATTACTTAATTTCATTTACAGTATCACTTTGCTTACACCACAAATAAATATGATTCTTTATTTTGTAAACATTTCAAATGATCTGTAAGTAAGTATTAACACAGAGGATACGCGTCCGGTAACCAGACGTGGATTAGGCGTCCGGTAACCAGACGTGGATTAGGCGTCCGGTAGGGGGTCCCGGAACGCCATTACCACAATGATACGATGTTCAGTCATCAGTGTTCGTGGTGTAGTGGATAGAGTGCTTGACTGATATGCCAGAGGTCACCGGTTCGAAACCTAATGGTAACTTTGACTTTTTGTCACAGATTTTGCTTTGAATGTAATTTCTTCTTAACTGTACATCTTTTGTTAGAATTTTGGGCATTTATAATTTTATGTTATGAAGAGAATTGAACCTTCATTTGATTTTTTTCACTATCAGCAAGTTTGGTTGGTTAGGTTAGGTTATGACAGTAACTGCCGGACGCCTAATCCACGTCCGGTTACCGGACGCGTATCTGCGAAGTATTAAATGTAAGTACAAATATTCTTTCAATCTAGACTATTTTTATACAAGTTATAGCTCAATTAACTATTTTTAAATTTAGGTAACTAATTAGCATGGAATGAGAATGTAATGGAATGACTGTGTCTTGTAGTTAAAACAAATAGGTATCAATCAATTAGTGTTTTTTGTGTTTCTTCTTGGGTGCTTTCTTAGTGGCAGCTTTCTCATCTGAAACATTTTAAAACGACTCTTTAGTCCTTAAACTTAAGAACAACACTTTAGTTTCAGTGTACAAGTTGTTTAGCAAACTGTTGGTGACTTATACATCATTGCTCATTTTCAAAACAATAAGTGCATTTGAATTAACCCTTCCCGGACGGGTGACTTTAATGGCCTGGGAAGGGCAAAAATTATATAAATACAAAAAATTATTTTCATTATTTCTGTGTTTTTTTATACCTGTATACATCAAATAACATAATGGAACATTTCGTACTATCTAAATAATCTTTTACTTGTTTTATGAATTTAAAAAATAGTGCGGATATATCCGCCGCCCGTCTATATCCGCTGGTCTTTGAAAATATGGCTGTGACAAGGATAGGCAATGAATAAAGAACAATATGTTATCCCTATTTCATGCTGCTAGACAGACAACCACTGTAGCTTTTAGCACCAACAGAGTCAAACTCGTTGGTAAAGGTGAGGTTCGAGTCAGAAATATTTTTACAGCATCAGGAAAAAGAAATGTTTAAGAATTTAAGAAAGAATCATGATGTAAAACTGTATGTTAATTATGTACTATTTTACTAAGAATTAAGTGAATGCACTGTTTTATGTCATAACTCAAACTCAACTAACTTTATTTACCTTTTTTCAAACATAGAATAACAAATAAACATATGATAATAATTAATAGAAATTAACAGGTGTTATGAAATAAACTGTTCTCACAACATCCTCCCTTTTAAGTTTGAAAGTTCTTCAACCAGCTTGGTTTGTGTATATTTCTCTTTGGACGGTTGTATGGTTCTGTTTGATGTGTATTTGCTGACAAATTTTGTTCACTGTTTTCCTCTCTTAAATAAGGGGCAAGTTTGAGGTGGAATCGATTTCTTCTCACATTCCTCTTATCAGTTTCAACAATATATGAACGAGGGCTGTCCAGGATTTTCACAATTTTGCCATGTCTTCTAAGGTCCACAATCCAAACTGGGTCTCCTATATGAAGAGGATTGAGAGTTTGCACTTTGTGCCTTCTATCATAGTTGTGTTTGTACTTCTCACGATATGTTTCTTCTCTCCCTTTTAGATCCTTTAGATCTGGTTTTCCACTAAGCAAATGTTCTGTCTGAGGCAATGTGCTCCGTAATCGCCTGTTCATAAGAAGCTGAGAGGGACTAAACCCATTCCAGAGGGGTGTCGTTCGATAGGCTAGAAGCGCTAAATAAGGGTCTTCCACATTTTTCTTTAGAATCATTTTGGCGATTTTCACTGCCGCTTCAGCCTCTCCATTGCTTTGGGAAAATTTTGGGCTACTTGTTACATGCTTGAAGCCATAAACTTTGGAAAATGTCTTGAAATCTGAATGTTCAAGGACTTGAAATTGAGACCCACAGTCAGACCTAATTTCTTCTGGAATGCCGTGTCGACAGAAAAAGGCTTTGCATCTCATTATTACTTCTCGTGATGTTAATGACTCTAATTCAGCTATCTCAAAATATCTGGAGTAATAATCTGTCACAGTCAAAAACCAAACGCCTTCAAGTTTGAACAAATCCATCGCAAGTGTTTTCCATGGCCTGTCAGGGAACTGTGTGGGAAGCAATGGTTCATGACTGTTCCTTGAATGTTTAATACAAGTAGGACATGATTTCACCATACTTTCAATGGCTGAAGAAATTCCTGGCCACCAGACTGACTCTTTTGCACGTAAACGACACTTAGTGATTCCAAAATGACCTTCATGTACTCTTTGAAGTGCCCAAGACTGCAGAGCTGGCGGAATTACAAGTCTTGAACCTCGTAGTATCATCTCATTATCAACACTTAGCTCATCCTTAACTGAATTATACGGTTTTAGGTCATCTCGTAATGATGTCTTAGAAGGCCAACCTTGGATGATTATTTTTTTCAGTTCACGTAAAGTCGGATCTTTATTTTGTTCCTCCAATACTTTAGCAACTATGCAGTCGTTTATATCAATGGACGACAAAACCATTTGAACAAACGCTTGAGTTTCTTCTTCTAACTCACGGTCATCAGTACCTGAAAATGGGAGAGGTGCTCTTGAAAGAGCATCAGGAACTAGAAGCTGCTTTCCAGGAATATAAGTAATTGAAAAATCATATCTCATGAGACGCAATCGAATTCTTTGAATTCTTGGAGACAATTCATCAAGATGTTTGGATTTCAAAATTTGAAGTAGTGGTTTGTGATCTGTTTGTATTGTTATTCTCTTGCCAATAATAAATTCTTGAAACTTTTCACATGCCCAGGCAACAGCTGTAGCCTCCCTCTCGATGTTTGCATAGTTTTTTTCAGAAGGAAGAAGGCTTCGGGATGCAAATGATACTGGTCGTATAGAACCATCATCTTGAACTTGAGAAAGAGTTGATCCTAGTCCTTGAAGCGAGGCATCACAGGAGATAATTGTTTCCCGATTTACATCGTAAATGGCTAGGCAAGGAGAGTTAGTCAAAATGAGTTTTATTTCATCAAATGCCTTCGCCTGCTCTGGACCCCATATCCATGGAACGTTGGCTTGAAGTAGTGAATTCATTGGGGCCAAAATCTTAGCTTTGTCAGGAATAAACTTACCAAGAAAGTTTACCATCCCATTGAACCTTTGAAGTTCTTTTACGTTTTTTGGGCAGTCCATTTTGAGAATGGCGGAAACCTTTTCCTTATCAACAGAAATTCCATCGGATGAGAGGAAATGCCCGAGGAATTTAATACTTGACTTCCCAAACTCAGTTTTGTCTTTGTTAAGTGTCATTCCTACATTTTTAAGCTTTTCAAGTACTTGCCGAACAACTGTATCATGTTCTTCTTTCGTTTTGCCCCAAATCAGAATATCGTCCATATGGACTGCGACATTTGACTGGTTGTCTAAGATTTTGTTCATGCATTTCTGAAAATGTTCAGGTGCTGATGTGATTCCAAATGGAAGTTTGAGAAATTTAAAACGTCCAAAAGGGGTAAGGAAAGTAGTTAGATCCTGGGAATTTACATTTAAGGGGACTTGCCAAAAACCACTGTTTGCATCAAGTTTTGAAAACCATTTTGCTCCTGAGATTGAGCTGAGAGACGTTTCAATTTTGGGAATCGGATGATAAGACCGCTGGATGGATTCATTCAACTTTGTTAAGTCAACACATATGCGGACATCTCCATTAGATTTAGGCACTACTACCATTGCTGAGCACCATTCAGTAGCATGCTCAACTGGTGTGATTACATTATTTTGTACCATACTTTCTAGTTCTTTTTTCACTTGACACATTAGGGGTAAAGGTACTGTCCTAGGAGTGGTTATTGCGTATGGCTTTGCGCCATCCTTAAGTGCTATTGTGTAGGGATCAGGAATGATGCCTAGACCACTAAACATTTCATGGTATTCGGTAAAAAAGTCACTGTCTACCTCTGCAACTGAATTAACAAAAGTTAAAATTTTCAAGTCCTGTATTGCTGGACGACCAAGCAAGGGTGTTATGAGTCCCTTCACTACGTATACCATGTGATTTATTTTAACATCTCTGTATTGAATATTAGCTTTAACACAACCTACAGTTTCTAATTTTGTTCTACCAGCCCCAAACAACTCAACTAGAGTCGGCTGGATCCTACTTGGATCAACTATGCCAGGGGGAATTACTGTTACATCTGCCCCTGAATCAATTTTAAATGTTTGTGGTTTTCCCTCAAATACTAATTCTAGTTTCCAGGGCTTACATTTTGACCCATCCCCAAGTGTACCTATGAATACTTTATTATTTGAAGGTTCAAGTTCACTTACTTCATTTTCGTCAGTTACTTCCTGTGCTTTAGATCTGCAGACCTTCGAAAAGTGACCAATCTTTTTGCATAAGTTACATGTTGCGCTTTTTGCTGGACACGTGCTTCTTGGATGGGACGGTTTATAACCACACCAGATACATTGCGCTGGGTATTCTTGTTTCTTTTGACGAAACCTATATCCTTGATTTTGGTTTGAACTCGATGACGTAGTTGCTTCAATTTGAACTCTTTTCTCATCACATAAATCTGCCTTCTCTTTCTTTACGTTATCTGCATGTCTTATTACTGTAATGGCCTTGTCTAAATTCATCTCGGGATCTAGCAACAAGCGATCACTAAGTTTCTCATCATTTAAACCCAGTATTAGCACCATCAACACCATTTCATCATTAAGTGAACCCCAGTCACAGGTTCTAGCCAAGGAATGGAGACTAACTATAAACTCTTCAACTGTTTCATTAATTTTTTGTTGTCTCTTCAAAAACTTTGCTCTTTCAAAAATTAAGTTCCTCCGTGGAATAAAATGTTTGTCAAATAAATCTAAGACTTCTTCAAATGTTAGCGTTGATTCCGTTGCTAAATTAAAAGATGCAAAAATCTCATCAGCTTTCTCACCTAATGTGTATATAAGAGTGTTGATTTGTTTTTTTAGACTCTTCAGATAGCCCAGATGCTGACCGATATCTTTGAAATCGTGTTTTCCATCTTGGCCAATCTGCTGGTACAAAGGAGAAACTAGCTGGAGGTTGAATAACTGAATGAGTGTTTGATACAATGATTGACTTCTTAGTTGAATTGTTGTATTCATTTTCTCTGCTTCTTTCATTTTCATTATCTTCATAGTCAGATTGTTTCGTTCTTGGATTTCTCTTCTGAGGCATAGCTCTAAACCGCTGCCACCATGTACTATTTTACTAAGAATTAAGTGAATGCACTGTTTTATGTCATAACTCAAACTCAACTAACTTTATTTACCTTTTTTCAAACATAGAATAACAAATAAACATATGATAATAATTAATAGAAATTAACAGGTGTTATGAAATAAACTGTTCTCACAACAAATTATGTAGACAACATTCTCGTTATCTTCAGACAAGCCCAGGAGCAAGAGCACGAAACGATGATGCAGACACTAAACAGCCACCACTCGAACCTCACCTTTACCAACGAGTTTGAAGAAAACAAAAAGATCAACTTCCTGGACC